TACAAATACATGGTATATTCACCTTAGAAGTTGAATAGGGATTTGTAACATTATTTTATAAACAGAGTAGCTAACTCTATTTGAAAAAGATAATGTTCAAACTAGTATACATTGTATATTTAGCCTAATGAAATGTGACCTAGATACATTAAGGTAAGAAAGTAGTTCTGGAATCCTTCCTAAGATTAGTAACTCTGACTGCCCAGTTGTTTCTTCTTTCGGCATTTTACAGCCTAACTATCTTTCCAAATTCAAGTCACAGAAAAAAATGGAGCTTGCCACACTTGCTTTATGTCAAACGGGTATACATGAAAATAAACTTAAACTCCAAATGTGTTTTGGGGTTTCTAAGGCACCAAATCTGTGATCATGGGACTGTTTGCGCTTCAGTTTCTACTTTGTTTTTTTCACAAAATTGTTTCAGTTAAAAATAAATTATATAAGCATATATTTAAAGAGAATACAAAGTTCCTCTACAGAACAGACACTGATATTTAAAAAATTTTAAATGTAATGAGATAGCTACAATTGTTATTCTGATGTGCCTCTTTAAAGTACATATAAACCACCAAGACCAAGTCAGGTGCTGGCAAGACTTTTTATAAAGATGTGCTGTTTAGATGATATTATTCTAATTTTCATGACTATTTTTATTAGTTTAGATGTTTATCATCCATCCACAGATCTGTATGTGTGTTTATTCACATGTTTTCTTATAGAAAGTTTGTCTTACGGCATGTTTAAAGACTGATGGAGCTCTTAATGGCGTGCAGAATAGTAGTTATCTGGAATAGCAGTGCCCAGCTGTGCACTAAAATAAGCTCTGTAAAATATCTGTTCATAGTTGTGTATCAATTTTGTAACATTTTAAAAAAACATACAGTGTGCTGATAGTCCAGGCAGGAAGAATTCAGAGAAAAGCATTGTGTCTCAACTCTTTACCGTATGTGGAAATATTCTTGGGGGCATAAGAGTTGAAGGTGAGGAATATATAAATGACCCCCAAATCTAATTTATAGGAGAGTAATTCAGACAGATTCCAACAGAAGGTTTGGCACTGCCTGAGTCTGAATGGGATTGGGTTTACTGACAACCAATTAGTTGCCAATTCTCTAGGGTTGGTTGCCTCAGAACATGCTACAAAAAGCAATGAGTGGGAAGAGCTCAGTCACGATCCACACATGCTGGCTGCACTCTCCAGTCTCAGTCAACCTGCACTCCTTCACTGACGGCTGAAAAGAAAGCCAGGAGGAATGCATCTCGTGTTTGGGGAAATTGGACAATCCTCCAAGATCCTCAAAGCAATTTGTCTGCACTTGTAATATTGTGAAATATCAGTAGAGGTGGTGCTATGGGGTAGAGACCCTAGGCCTGCAACCAGGCTTTCCTATCTGCATTTTCTTTAATGTGGTTTGAAGTTTAAATCACAGCTATGCAACGTCAATACATCCGCAACACATTATGTAAGGAAGAAGTCACAATCATGATTTTGTAATGACTTTCTCTAGCTTTTACTCTGAGTCTTTCTTGTGTAGGTGTATGTCCTGTGGACTGCTTCAATATACACTTATAAACAAAAACAAAGCAAAACACACGGTGAAAATCATCTGAAGACCTTCAACTTTGTAAGGGTCCACACAGTTAATGCGTCAATGAGGTTAGAAATTAAATAATTCTGCCAATACAAAAAAAATTGATTCTTTTCAAGACCGTTGACTTCAATTGCTAAAATTTTTGAAATAAAGCAACCGAAACAAAAATATCTATCATTTAATACTAAAATTCAAGATAAAGGTGATAGTGGAGAATATGAAATAATACGTGCAAATGTTTTCAAATTCATAACATTCACAAAAGAAATTTTCATGAAATTAGGAGCATGGCAATTAAGGCCGGGAGAAAAAATGCATTGCTCAACTTCCACGTTCAAATACAATTTGTAAGTAGTACAGATGATGAAGCCATAAATATCTTAATGCAGACTGGTTCATTGAAACAGAAAACAGGAAAATACAGTACGAAGTGAGGTATTCCCACCAAGTCCAACACGTTTAGATTCCTGGTTGCAGGTCTTAAATGGCATGCTTTTTATCTTTGTGAATTTCAATTAGACTCTGCAACGGGCAAGTCAGGAAAGGAATATTAATGATGGAGAAGAAAGTAGGTGGTGTTCCATTCTTTCTAGAGCCACCTAAAAGGGAGAGCATTTGTCCTGATTGTAGCATATTGACATGTTCACTCAGAAAGGGATTCTTCCTAGGTTGAAAAAGACTGTGCAAACTACTCACAATGTAAAGCTTTTCTTTTCTCACATAATCTTCAAAGCAAAGCTAAATTTTACTGTCGATTGGCAGCGTCTCTTAGGAAAAACTGCACCATCTAGGAAGAAAAAAAAAAAAACACCTGAATTTTTGGTGCACAACTAATGAAAATAGAAATGTTTGGCACGCATTAACTCTGAATGCAGACTGGCAGAAACAGATCGGCATACTTACCATCTTTCCCTGGTAAAATCGTCTGACCTGTGTAACAACTTCTGCAAGAGGTAAGCCGAGGCTCTGCTCTGCCTTCGCAGAGTGTGCACGGCACGGTCTCTGTGAATTACAAAGAAGGAAAATTGTTTTTCTAGTAGCATGCTTGGATTTTCTCACCTATGATAAAATAGAAAGAAAAGAGAGACCAAACACAGTGCTGTAAGTGTGGCATGGGGACCGGAATTGCAAGCTTCTTCGCCTTCAGGAGAATCAATTGAGGGGCGGCGCGCGGGGAAGTGGGGGAGACCCCCAGCCCTGCTACATCCCCCCTCTCATGCCCACGCAGAAGAGAACTGCAGAGGTGTGGAAGTAGGCAATCCCCCTTTACCCTCTGATAATGCAAACTTTTCAGAGCACTGGATAGAATGAGCTTACATGTAAGGACGCCCCTGAGGTTGGTGAAAGGTTTTGCTTTGAAATTGAGGGAGGTCTCTGCGTGCCTAACCTGCAAAACCTGCTTTACTGACTGGCTCTTAGAGGAGTCTCCAACCCTCAGTTCTTTGAGGGGAAATCGGTCCTGTATGCTGGCATGTGGAGGTATGAGCGATCCATCAAGAGGCGCAGAAAATCAAAGAAACTTCCTGTTGTCTGCTTTCACGCCATATGCATTAAACTTGGCAGTGCGTGGACGCGCTGATGACTAAGTAAGGACGTGATTAGCCCCCTGGCCCTCCAGTGGGAGCCCTACCTCTTTACTCTGCTCGGCAGCCACGTCGCTTCCAGCCAGGGTATGTCAGAGGAAGACTGGAGGCAGCACGCAGCCGCGAGGATCCAGGGCCTCGCAGACTCACTGCACTCATGACTTCGCGCCAACACCCACCAGCAGCCCCCACCCACCCAGGCACGTCGGGGCCTCCGAGGAGCCCCAGCAGGCGGCCGCGGGGAGCAGCCCCCCATCTCCCGGCAGCGCCTGAGCTCGGCGCTCCTCGGGCGCGCGTGGGCGCGGGGAGCGGCGCTCGGGGCGCACCCTGGCGCCCGAAGCCTCCCAGGGCTGCGCGGTTGCAGGTGCCTGGAGAGACGGGGTCGGTTCCCCGGCAGAGGGGCGGGGGAGGGGGCTCCCTGCTTTCCGGGGAATCTCGTTAGCCCTCCTCCCTGGCCTGGCTCCTCCTCCTCTAGGCGCGGGGCTCCTGCCCGCCAGTGCCAGCGCGCTCGGCGCCTCCGCCCGCGCCCCCACCGCCATCGCTTCTCCCTCCTCCTCTTCCTCCTCCTCCTTCTCCGCCCATCACCGCCACTACCGACGCCTTCGCCTCCTTCTACTCCTTGCGCCGCGGCCGCCGCTCTGGTTGCGACCAGACCATCTCTGCCCGCTCGCTCAGCTGCTGCAGTCTCAGTCTCTCTCTCTCTCTTTCTCTCTTTCTCTCTTTCTCTCTCTCTCTCTTTCTCTCTTTCTCTCTCTCCTCTCTCCTCCCACCCCCTCAAGTTTGCTACCTCCTGGAGATCAGGGCAAAGAGAGAAAAGCATCGAATTCCGCTCTCTGTTCCAGGTAGGGTCGCCCACGTCGGTCCCCGCAAGGACCTTTGCCCATCTGCCTGTCTGTCGTGCACGCCTCTTCTCCCTCCGCCCCACTCGGATGCTTCGTGCAAACGGAGCGGGCTCGGGTCTTTCCTTCTCCCCAACCCTTTCAAAAGATCGTTTCAATACTCATCTTCAGAAGCGTCTTTGCAACTACAATAAGATGCAGGAGCCTGTCCGGCAGCGCCTGAGCCTGGTTCTTTTATGGTCTTCAACTTTGCAGACTGTGCTGGCCGCTACCAGCCTGACTGGGCTGTGATCCCTGAGCCCCACTCCTAGGCTTCTTGTAGTCTGTAGTCCCCAGCTCCCTGAGAGCTGTCAAACGTGTTGTTCCCAGGATCAGACCCCTACTGCCCCCTGCTCCCCAGGCAGTCTGGTGCTATCATCATGGGCAGGCAGAAAGATTTTTGTTTTGTGTGATTTCATGCTATTTTATGTTCAGAAGGGAGTAAAGCAGAGAAGACTTCAAGATCGAAAAACACTGTAAAGAGAAATAATTGGAAAAGTGGGTTGGCGACCCTTCGCTTTTCCTGCTTTGGTTGCCGGGGTGGTCTGCGTTCAGGGGGCTGAGGTATGAAGACCCCACTTCTTCTCCCCTTTCCCATTCTCCCTTCCCACCAATCTTATTCTCCAGCTCATTTATCTCTCTGGAATCTGGGGTATTGTTACTCTTGACTGTGCACAGCAAGGTGTTTGCTGACCACAGGGCTTGGGGGAGGGAATTGCTGGCAGAGAAAGTGTGATTACCTTATCATCTTGATGCCAAGAAGAAAAAAGTAGTTCCCCTCCGCTCTGTTCAGATGCTTCACTGAGTCCACTGGAGTAATCTGCAAAGCTTTAACTTCCATTTCCAAATGAGATGGCACTCTCCTGGGTTCCTTGGGCGGCGGAACTGGGGCAATGTTAACTGTGCTTTGTTTTTTTTCTCCTTCCACGGCTTTGCAAAGAGGAGCAATGAGGATGAAACTGAGCATCTACAATATGCAGCTGCTGCTTCTGGTCTTTTTAGCGTGGGACTCAAGCAGGTAAGAGCCTCACTCTGTTGCCTTTAACTCAGTGTGAAGATGTACATATTGAGCACCATCAATACAAGGTGGCCTTGTAGAATTTAGGGTAATAACTGAAGGTTTCTTTCTTTCTTTATTTATTTTTCGGACGAAAAGGGGTTGTACCAGGAATGTGTACTACAAAGTGACGAAGATGATAAAAAGTTCTCCGCTGTTTGTTTTTAGTGATGATATGCAAAAGTGAACAGACATTTTTCCTATATAGAAGTTTAAAATCCTTTGAATGGCACATGCTTACAAGGAGTTGACGTGGTACTAGGAGCTCATAATACTATTGAGTAATGAAACCAAGTGTTCCTTAAAGCCAGATAGAAAAGTGCTGATCTGAGTGGCAACTTAATTTTTTTTTTTTCTTTTCGTTATTAGTGGTCTTGATTCTTTGAGTCAGCAGAGCAAGCTTAAATGATGAGTGAGTCTTAAACCTCTAGGTGGAGATAGTATACAACTTCACAATCCCAACTAAACAAGAGCCTAATGTATTAACTTTTCATGCTCCTAACTTAGAGATCTTTTAATCCTAAAATGGTTACTGTTGTAAGGAATGCTACTGCAAACTTGTTTCCTTCCACTGTGCTCTGCAAACATAACGTTTTCATTGATCTCAAGAACATCTTAACTGTAGCTTTTTCTAATTCTTACCATCAGAGAACCTCTTTTACTCTGCCTTCAGGACAAGATTATCGAATTGCAAAAGAACATAAAATAAAACTTTCAAAAAGTACTCCTGTAACTATTGCTTTTTTAAAAAAATCTTGATTTCACATTTCATTCCCCGCTCCCTCCTCCCTCCGAATTCTGTCCAGATAATGGTCAAGGTATAAAAATCTTTTCTAAAATCGAAAAGATATCTAGTTATAAAGCTTGATGCTTAATTAAACACCTGAAGATTGACTTCAGAAAGAAAATGTCAAATGTGATTTGAAGCACTTTTAAATGAAAATCTTTGATAAGTGCCATGACTCTAGTAGTGATGGGTCTTAAAATTTGCTTAAGTAGATTATGTAAAACTTTCTAGCCTAGAGGATCTGAGCTGATTTACATATGTAATTTTTGAATGTTAATTTGAGTGTTTTACTAATTATACTATTAAAGCAACATTTGCTGTTTCTTACCAAATTTTTATGTATTATGATTCTGTTAAGCTACAAATCTTATCTTTAAATACAATGGACAGTTAATATTTTAGAAAATACACCTTGATCAGAATCTGACTGTGTACTGATTTTAAAAAAGTGATCAGTGTATTACCAATTAACCATTAAAAATTTCCAATGCTTAAGCAATTTCTCTCTGCTAGTTTTCTTGTGCTATATTTGACCAGTAATACTCTTGCCAGTATTTTATTCTATTATATAAATGATTCTTTCTCTGATGCCAGCAATTTAAATCTCTGAATCATTCTAAGGGGGGAGGCAATGAAAAAGGACATTCTGTTTTAGGTATTCAGTTGTTTCTGCACCAAATTGCTTTTAAGTCACAGAGTTAGGTCTCTGATTAGCTATTTGGTGAAGATACAATGACAAAAACAATATTTTTAAAGCTTTTCTGGTGATGCTTTAAGGTTATCTGTTCTTTAAAGAAATCTATTAACAAAAAGAAGTATTTGGCCCTTTAACCTGTGTGTAAGCACTGCTCACTCTTGTGGGAGACCAGTCTGGAGGAGCGTTCCCCACACAGGTGCATGTTGCTGCTGCTCTTAGAGCCCACCTCCACCCCCTGGCTGCAGCACGGCCTGGCACACAGCCAGTGGAGTTTCCCTGATGTCTATATTGCACTTGGCCATTGGGTGGAGGTAGATACAAAGTAAGAAAATAATCTGTTGAAAGAGGAAGACGGGAAGAGAAGGGAAAGACATTTATGAAGGAGATGGAGAAATTTGGTTTCTCCAAGGAGGCAATTTGCTTTCCAGCTAATATTCAAATAACTGAAGAATGAGTTCAGAAGTCTCTTTGACTGTTTTCTAGGTGTAAAAGCCTCATTCCTGATAGGGTCTGCACTTGATAATCTATAATCATCCTATATTCTAGGGAGTGGATTTTGCGAAAACAAAACAGCACAGATAGGCTGCTAAATGGAAGGAATCTCAAAGGTTCTAACATCAAACTTGTGATAATATATTGTTTGGTATCCATTATCAACAGTATATTTGCCTTCCCTATAGAGATACTGATATTAGTAAAAAACAAAAACAAAAAGAGGAATTCTGACGACACCAATAGCTTAGGGAATCCTAAGATTCAAATCAAGAAGAACATGTTGGCAGTTATGTATCCATATCAGCTTGTAAAATTATCTGTTTAGGTTGGTGCTGGCAAACATCCAAGAAGATGAGGCTAAAAATAATATTACCATCTTTACAAGAATTCTAGACAGACTTCTGGATGGTTACGATAATCGGCTTAGACCAGGACTTGGAGGTAAAAATAGTTTTCCTTTTATAAAATCTTGCACAAAATAATGTCTTTATAAGTTAAGTATAGCCTTTCCCTGTTAATAGAGTTTATATGTGAATACATTGATATGTGCTAAAATCATAGGATATAGAAAGGTAATGTGAAACCAATGTTATCTGTAATTATTTTTCCATGCATTTACTGTTTCAGCATGCCTTTTATTAGGAAGCCTAGTGTCATATGGTACTCAGGATCTCTGCATGAGTAATTCTCAAATGAATTTCTTTTCTTTTTTTCCCCACACACAGAGTGTGTTAGAGTGTTCCACTACTGAAGATATATGCATGTATAGTATTGTTGGTTATTTTTGTGCTTCATAGATGCTTATTTTCACACCAATATGAACATGTAAAAATAAAGAACACACATAAGAGAAAGATTACCTATGTGGTATTTTAGAAAATTCACTTTTTAGGATTTTGTGGTGCTTTTCTTAAACCCTGCATATTGTATTTCTGAAATATAGCACGGGAAGGGAATCCTTGAAACTTTGAAAGATATTTTAGATGTATGAGATACGTATAAGCTCAAATAAGTAGCTGATGACACAGTTTGGTTTCAATTTTGAAAATAAATTTCAGCTCAGAAGAAAACAACTCTGATTTATGTATGAAGATGAAAGATTCTGGCTTGATCAATGTGCTACATTTTAATTGCCATTTAGTTCAGGGAGATGATACAAGTAGTTATGTGAATGTACAGGAGTTTTGTGAATCTCTAAAGCATTGTGAGTCGAAATATTGTTACTCTTCAATTCTAGCAAGATTGTAAGGGCTCACAGACATGGCCATGTACACACACACACACGTTAGAGTAGCCATCTTAGTAACTAGGAAACAATCATTGATAAATGTGCGAACTTAAATGTGTGTGTGTGTATGTTTCATAATTATCATGGCATTGAATTTGATAATTAGTTTAAAACTAAAATGCATTATGGAACATTTCATATTAATAAGATTATACCATCATCCTTGTTATTTCCAGGTTTGAAAGCTTTCAGTATCAGTTTTCTTAAAAATATTTGTATTAACTAAATGCCCTAATAGCCACATAAACTATTATTTATGAAAAATTTGAGTTGCTCATTTTATGTAGCTAGCGTTAACAGTTATGTAGCTTGATTTGTTTCTAGGATAAGAAAAATGTCAGCAGAAGCTCAAACTGATGCTAAGTAGTATGCTATTTAATTACTGCTGGCTTTGTTGGCTCTAATCCCTCAATGGTACCTAGAATGTTAAGAGAATTCCCCAAGGAAGAGCTGTGTTCACTGCTGTGACACATTTTTGTCCCTAAGGGAGAATTCAGGTGCTTAACATACACTTGGCTTGTAAGAGGACACGTAAAAGGGAAATCATGTTAGTCTTTAATGTCTAGTGCTGTTGAATGAAAGCAATTGCTTTATCTCTTAGCATATATGTTGCAATGAACTATTGCCAAATTAGCATGAGAGAAATATACCTAGCCCAAGGCTCTTATAGTTTGTGAAGGTGGTTGTAGAGGTAGACTGCGCTGAAGTTGATCTCTTTGCCAATCCATAGATTTTAGTATTTTAAATAAAGTAGGTGTTGTTGAACAATCTTAAACTATTCAGTCTAGACTGTGAATTTTGCTTCTTTTAGTTTTTAGGAGGAATATATAGTGAGAATATAGTGAATATATATATATATATATATATATATATATATATATATATAGTGAGAATACACAGTGAGTCTTTTCAGGACTTTGATATTGCCATCAAATTCTTGGCAATTTTTTTCATACCTTTTATCTATTCTTTATTTCCTTAACTCACTTTCGAGCACATTCTGATTTTCTGTTATTTGAGTTATTCTGATATATCCTAAATGGTCTTTGCAACTTAACTTTCTTATCTTTATTTCCAGTCTTCTGGTATTAAATGCGTGCTAACATCTCACAAGCAGATTCATCTTCTTTTAACGTTCCCTGGTTTTCCCTATGTCACTCTGTTTTATTGACCAGGTACCTTTAATGGTTTCCCAGTGCCTTTGGCAGACAGTGATGAGGAAGCATGCTAAGGACCTGAGCCTTAGAGGCAAATAAAGCTAGATTAGGGTTCTGTTCCATCCACACACAGAAAGCTCGTTATCCTGCGACCAAGATTTGTTTCCTTTGATTTCAAATGGACATGCTATATCCATCTTTCTAGCTTTGAGGGTTGTTGAGAAAAACACAACACAATGCACTTACAATTACTAATTTCTACCCACTTCTCTTTGGTTCTTATTATGATATGGTATTCCACAATGGACCCATCTGGTGTCATTTACCTCTTAACTTCCTATCCGGTCCATCCTGAATTTCAAACATCTATTGGTCATCTATGGGTATTTTATTACCATCTACTTTCTTGGCCTTTGGTTATATTATCTGTTGTGACAGGAATATGTTTTCTTCATCCTTTCTTCATCCTTTCTGCTCCACTTTTACTTCCTGGCAAAAATAAATCATCTTAACACCAGTCCTCCATAGTGAAAAGATTTCTTAACTAAATTGTGCACCCAAATTCAGTTTTCTCTTTGTTGAATTTCTTTAGTAGTTGTTGGCTTCATATCTAATTTGGAAGTTATTATGTACTATCCTCTATTACTTATTATATTTTTATGAGTCTCTCGTTAACTTAATAAGATTGTAAACACATCAAGGCATGATGTTGTATCATAAATCCTCTGTGCCTTTAGCAAATAAGTATTGATCTGCATATGTGGCCATAAAATAAATGTGATTGTTTGATTAACTTTTCCATGACAAATTAATCATCTCCATGACTAATTAATCATCTGGAAAGTGGGGCTGTTCACGCTAACAGACCTTTTAGTTAAGATTGTTAAGGTTATGAGTTGAGTATTATGCTGTAGGAGGTCAGAAAGGCTGGTGAAGAGAGCCAGATTTTAGATTTTGAAGATTTACTTTAGTGCACTTAATGTCTCTGAATCTACATTTGCCATCAGTACAATAGTCTTTCTAATACCAGTCATAGAGTTTTGATAAATATGATGACATAAAAACGAATTTTAGCAGCAACTGACAGGTAGTTGATATGTCAGTTAAGAACATGACTAAAAGATCTTGAGAAATTCTAAATGTATTCCTGAAATTTTAAATTATAATTTAATTAAAATAGTTACTGTCATTATTAAAAACTAGCCTCCTCCCAGCATTGCTGATATCTGGATCTTGTTTTTCTTTCTGGAACAGCAGGCATTTGGATAGCAGAGGTCATTGTGGCAGTCAGAGGTTTAACCAATTGTGACATAATGTTGGCCAGAGCATTCATCTTTTTTTTTTTTAAAGATTTATTTTTATTATTTTTTTTATTGGAAAGGCAGATATACAGAGAGGAGAGACAGAGAGGAAGATCTTCCGTCCGATGATTCACTCCCCAAGTGAGCGCAACGGGCCGATACTATGCCGATCCAAAGCCAGGAGCCTCTTTCCGGGTCTCCCATGCGGGTGCAGGGTCCCAAAGCTTTGGGCCGTCCTCAACTGCCTTCCTGGGCCACAGGCAGGGAGCTGGAAGGGAAGCGGGGCTGCCGGGATTAGAACCGGCGCACATATGGGATCCCGGGTGTGCAAGGCGAGGACTTAGCCACTTGCGCCACTGCGCCGGCCCGAGCATTCATCTTTTAACAGAAAAGTTTATGCTTTTGCTAATTGCCACTGTCTTAATTGCTTACTTTGCTCTCTTGTGGTAGCATATGCAGTTTAGGAAGTCCTGGCTTTGTGCTTGTCTTATTGCTTGTTTCACCAATAAGAAACTCTAAATATCTAGAACAAGTGACAGTGACCTGTGTGTACGCAATATTCAATTAAGTATTTCTTGATTGATTTTGATTTTTATTAGTTAAAATTAATACTTTTAGTATGCCACCATAAATTAACTATCCAATTCACCTGGTCCTTGAAATTGATTTAATAATTATCACTTAATTAACATCATTATTAACATCAGTTAATATGTATATTTTTGCACAGTTCTTCAATTATACAAATTCCTGAAATTCCTGACTTATGATAGATGTGATTCTCTCATGAACTAACTGTGTGATTTGGGGTAATTCATTGTTCCATTGATGACTTAACTTACTTATCTCTAAGGAAATACTCATGCTATTTCTTTCTCGAACAGATATTGCATGGTTCAAGTAAATTAAAAATATTATAGACATAATGTAGTCTTCCACTAATAGATTTTACTGTTAGCAGTAATACAAGAGTTTTTTTTTGCTTCAGAAGAGTGTATTCTTAGAGCATAGTATTACTTGACGACATGCCAAGAGAATATTGGAAGTTCGTCTGCATTTGGTAGGGTGTCTTACTGTGAGGTTAGAAATTGAATCTAGGTTTGCTTTGAAATCATGCCTGCTGAAACCATACCTTGGTTTACTTCAAATGAATAATAAAATCAAACCTTCTTTTGTCTTCATTTTATTCATGGGGGTAAAAACTCAGATTCCCACTCATGAATTTTTACATTCCGTGAGCGACATCCAACTTGTTAACTGACAAAAAGGAAGGACATTCAGTTTTTAATCAATTGTATAGGGTCACTGGAACATTTACTGTGTCGACAGGCCTCATATATTCATGGCAGTGAGCATTCACAGTGTTCAGAATTGACAGCTATTAGAAATGACAGGCCTTGGTGTCTAAATTATAGACTCAGTCTGGAAAATAAAGATTGACTACCGTGCTTAACTGTGTTTGGAAAAGATGTTTCAAGAATCTTGTCTAGAAAGATGCTGTTTTGCCAATGCTCTTATTTTATATTCTGAAATATTGAGGAGCTTTTTGCTTAAAGACATGAAATATTAAAACACAGGTCATAAACTTCAGGCTGGGGGAATCACTTTACGACATGACTTTTGGTTATTTACCCTCTTTCATGCTGTAAGGAGATGTATCATAACGTGTGTCTATGAATTTTATTCCTCCAAAGT